AATCGTGGGGGCTGCTTGCAAAGGAAAAAACACACTCCTCCCCCCCCCTCTAGAGATGTAAAACCATTCTGGAGCATTCCGGTAGGGATTCCTTTCTAAATCAACAGCCAACAGTTAATATAACGGTCCCCACTCTGCTAGGCGGGTTCGCCCCTACCTTGGAATACTACAAAATCTGTTAGCAGGATCAACATGTGGCAACACAAGGTGTACAGGGAATGGGGAAGTTCATGGTGCCTTATAATTATAGGTCGGACATCTGGTGCAAAAGTCCATGTCGACAAGTGTCTGAGAGCTTGTTTTTTTGGATCTTCCTCTTGGACCTACCATCTTCACCGTTTCCCTCAAGTGCTCGCTGCAACGTAGACCTGAAGAAAGCTCCGATCAACCAGTCAACCAGGGGCCACGCAAAAAAAATAGCTCGACGCCAGGTCCAGGTATCCAAATGCCATCCAACACGGTCATTCTTTCGTGCAGCACCCTCCATGCTTTGGTTGTTGCCAATGTTGCCACTTGCAAACAAAAAGCACATGTGTGTTAACATGTATGTGCATGTATGTATTTTCTGTTGTGATACGTATCAGCAGCAAGGTATCGCACCTCCCAGAAAGCCAACCAAGGAAGCCAACACCCAGTCACTCGCCTTCCATCCCTCAATCGAATCTTTGAAACCGTCCTCCCAGTCACTGGGCCCGAGCAAAAACAAAAAAAGGCCTCCGATCCGATATAAAACAGTGTTAGGAACCTGAAGTAAGACTTGCCTTCTACAGGACCCGAGCTTTTCTCTCGATCTCTCTCCCCTCTATGATCTCTATTCATTCAAAGGTGTGGGCCAGTTCCAAACCGAGGCACCGAGACCCACCCGGCCAGCACGAAACGTCCATCTGCCCATGGAGAAACGATGCGTGACGGTCGGAGGGAAGGCTTCTTCACAAAACCGAAGATTCCGAGGTGGGGAAGGTCTATTCCAAATCGGATGGATGAGTGGGAATGGTGGAGGAATCTCGTAAAATCGGCGCGTGGGTGGCGTTCTTCGTGGAAACGGTGGAGGGGATGCTTGGGGCGAGTTGCTTCGTGGAGGGAACAGTTGCTTCTGACCCATGGGGTGTGCGAAATTGCCCCGAGCCCGAGAGTCAGAGTGAGTGGAACCTCTGGCTTTTCAGTCACCTTGTTTCGACATGGAGCCAAACAGCAAAGGGAAGTAGAAAAATAAAACATATTTTCAATAGAAAGGGTGCCTTTCAAGGGCTCTGCATGGCGCTGCCCTTGATCCCACCAGTTTTTTCTTCACCTGTGATTCCACCGGACATCGAGTCTCGAGTCAAACCAAGTCAACTGGTGACCCGCAGGATCGATCGCTTGACGGTCCACAAGTCAGACTTGACAAGTCAGGTAGGGGTCCTGGACGGTGATCACTTGAAAGGTACAGGTTGGCAAGTGTAGGTAACTTGCAAGTGCCAAGTACCAGGACACCCTAACGGGTGTCTATTGATAGCCCCTTGCAGGTTAAGGGGTGTCCATTAACCACCCCTTGTGGGTCCTACAGTGGATTTCTTTTGTTAATCTTTTTCCGGCGTTCACAGCTGCACCACATCTCTCTCAGTCTCTACCTGTCTCACCGTGCCAAACACCCCATAAACTGCTTGGCGGCTTGGCCTGGCGTCACCTGACCCAGTCCCATCTGCCGCATCTGCCCTCATACGCGCTCCCCGCCTGTCATCCATTCTTTCAAGACCCCCTCATGAGCGAAGCGCAGCTGGGTGCTGTTCATTTGGTTCGTTCGCTGCGAAAGCTGCACCACACGAGCCTCAAATAGGGGAAAGGCGTTCATGGTTGCGAGATGAAGAAAAGCGGCCACTGACTCCCGAACCGTTCACCAAACGATCTAAATCGGTTCGTTTGTAGTGGTTTAACTATTATGCACCCAAAAGGTTTAAGTACTCTCCGCTGACAGGGCAGGGAAAGGATCCGAGTTGACCACATTCTGCGGGGTTCTGAGTGTTTGTTATTTTTCAAGAAATGACTCGCTGAGTTGATCTAGTCACTAGTCAGCTTTCCGGAAAACTTAGCTCAACTCTTGGTTCTCCCTGGTGATAAAGGAGGGAGCAAACCAAACTCCAAGGTCAAAAACAAACAAAAACATGGCTCAGGGGTTGATTCTCTGACTTAGGGAGTGTAGCAAGCAACCCAAAACTGAAAAACTGAAAAAGTGTAAGGCTGTCCCCAAAATCATCCAAATTCAGATGATTTTCTGGTCAAAACAAAATAATGTTTCTATGTTATATTGAAGGATCATCCAATGGGTGTCCAATAGACTACCCTACCCTACGTAAACAGGTCTCCAAACAGGGCACCCGGACAGGAAGTGCTAGGTTCCTACATCATAATCCATCTATATCCTCCATACCAGGACCATCCTTACGGGGTGCCCTGTCTGGAAGCCTATAGGTAGCGTGGTAGTCCATTGGACACCCCGACAGGAGGGTCCTGGTATGTCCTCCATATGAAGCACTAAACTTGGACCGGCCGGTCCATCGCAGCGGCCAGCTCCGCATGGTTCGGCCGTCTCAGGTCGATGCGCACCTGGCGGCGCGCATGGTTGCGCCGGCCTCCAACCTACGACCGCGATGGCCTCCACCGAGCATAGCGTCCTAGTAGCTACTAGTAGCTACTATAGTAGGGGCGGGGGGTGATGAAATGATTCAATTAGCATGGTTTTCATTGATTATACTGGGGACCACGTTTTTCAGTGGTGGCCAGTATAAATGGATTCTGAATAAATCTATATATATCTATAACATGTTTTGTATTGTTTTTTGTGTTCCTTTATTGATATTGGTGACAACTGAGAAACACATTTGTCAAGTCACAGAGAGGCAAATCCTTCGAACATGAAAGCCTGGATAAATAACTCAGAGCTAGCTTTCCAAAAACTGCATTCTCACTGGAGGTTCCTCTTTCAGGCGCCCAGAAAGAGAATCCATGAACACCTAGCCTATCGCTGTTTCACAGTGTTCCAGAATGATTTGAGCTCAGAGAAATCCCCATAAGACCAATCTCTACCAGCACCTTCCAAATCTTCCTTTCAGGGGTTTCAATTGACTATCTAGCCCATTACTTGTGGATCTCCATTTTTCGCACCCCTTGGAAGGTCCAGGTATATATCAACCAAGGCATTTACATGCATTTACGCAGCTTGCTCTCGAAACACCCAACGTCCACAATTTTCCAAGTTCCCCGCAACACCCGCTTTGCGAATGGTTACGACACACAAAGCACCCGGTAAACACAGCACATGGGTCCCCCCAAAGCCACCCAAACCACCATTTCCCGCCATCGTCCGACGCGACGTGCGGGACCTGCAACGACTGGAGGAAGGCCTCGAAGCTCGGCGCCGCTTGGCGCGCTTGCTTTCGCAAGGCTTGCTCTCGATACCTGAGGTCCAAGACCAAGAGAGGTTTTTTGTGACCTGATACAAAGAACTCGTCACCTGGGGTATGGGGTACCCAACTGGGATACTCAAACTAGGTTCCTTCAACCTCTGTTGGGTATGCACCATTGTGCACTGTGCGTGGACTGTCCGAATCCATTTTATCCGCGTGCGTTTTGCGAGGGTGTCGGACGTGCGTTCTCGCGTCGAGGGTCGAAAGGTTTGCTTTTCGAAGCGGTGAAGCGGTGGGTTGAAATGGGTGGACGTGGCTGGACATTTTACGGCGAAGGTAAGAGCCAACATGATCTGACTGAAGAAACAATAAGAAACATGCTGGCTGAGTTCGCAGGTTAGCAATCTAGTTCCAACAAACCACAAGGTCAACTCTACTCCAGAGAAACCTGGCTCGAGGGCCCTTGGTTCCTGCCTGGCTCCACTGCCTAAAAACCACGGGGTGCAAATGATCCAATATACTGTGGTATTTTTTGGGTTGGATGTGCCGGTGGGTCAAATCACCGACCTTACGGTCTTTATTGCAAATGCCAAAAATTAAGCTTGCAAATGATAGCTATACCCTAGAAGTCGAACCACCAGATCCAGGAGAAAAGATCACATTGCAACGAAACATGCATGTCTTTTTTTGTATCTGACTCATCACAGGCCAGCTTTTCAAAGGGATCCTGGTGTCCGAACACAACCCAAAGGCATACATCCAACTCTCAAAATACACACGTTCCAGCATGCCTGGAACATTTTAGTGTACATGTCTAGAACATTTTGGTGTAGGTCGAGGATCAATGTAGGATCACCTATACATTGCTGGTCACATTTCTCAACATTCCGCGAGCTGTCCCTGTGGAATGGACCTTTGGAGTCTTGCCAGAAGCCCATTCCCTAGCTTTGTCTTTTCGTGGAGGGGCAAAACTCCAAAGGCACTCAAAGGTCGCAGCCCATATGTCATAGCAAATGCGGGACGCTGTTTGCTGTACATCTACTGTACTGCACATGCTTGCCAATGTCTGATGGGCTGTGTTTTGTTAATGTGTCTTCTGTTGGTTCTGCCTGCGTTTCTGTTGCGCTGTTGTCAGATAGACTGATAGACACTTGAAAAAGATTAGACAGCGCACGCCGACCAAAGGCTGAGCTCCATTTCCAGCCTCTCAGGAGAATCAGAAGGCAAAAAGCGGCAACAGAGCGGACACGTTCAGCAGCGAAACAGTCGACCCACCAAACACAAAACCTCAACCAAAGCAATCTATTGCAAGAAAGGGTCTAGACCCTTTCCTCATCCTTCGCTTCTTCACCGAAACCAGTTTGGAATGCGACCACCAGGGCTGTCAAATTCAAGAACTGTCATCACCTTCATCACCGTGATCACCATCATCACCAGCGCTGCTGGCAGGAGGAGGCACAAGCTTGGAGGTCGATGCATTGGCCTATTTGTCAACACCACGAGATGACAAAGCGCAATACTTGTTTATGGCATTCACTTGCACAAGCCAAAATTTGTAAGCAAAAAGTCTCATCATTGCAATAATCATACGCGCGCTTGCCTTGGAGCGGTGTGACGAAACAATTAACTGAGGACTACGCTGACAAAACACAATGACGTGACTGGTATGACTGATAATGAACCTTTGAAAGAAAAAAGAAAAAACAAAACTTGTTTTTGATTTTGGAACCTGAAAAAGATGGAACAAAGCATATAACAAAGCAACATAGCCAGAACCCGAGGCCGTCCCTACACCAAGGCGGATTGCGAGTGGTCTACTCCACTCTACGGCTGTGTGTGCGCCAAAGAACCTACCACACCTCCCAAGGATGTCTAGGCGCTTCGTCGATCCACCTCCTTGACAATCAAGCCTGCAGCGCAAACTGATAAGACCAGCCTTGCTTGGATGGTTTTGCCACGCCACGACTGCGCCAGCTTGATATGGATCGTGGTCCTCACTCACCATGGCAGTGCATGATGTGGTTCAATAGGTGTTTCATTCTTGAAGTATGCCACAATGAGAAGAACAATGCTCCTAGTGAGTTGCTAAGGTGCGCATCGCTGCGGAGCTGGATTCCTGACAATTCAATGTGGTTGGCTGAGTCTGTCTGGGAATTGAAAGGCACAACAAAATTCACAAGGCTCAGCGGGAACGCTCACAGTTACAAGCAGCAACAAACCTCGCCCAATTGCCGCCCGCCTTTTTCACCTTCATTGAGACGATGGGCACGGCCATGGCGAGCAGCGTCTGAAGCCCCTTCTCACTTGGGTTGGCTTCCAATGAGTAAAGCAGACGAGGTGACAACTTGACAGACTGCTATCTAAAAAAAAAAAGCGCACTGAAAGGCGGTAAAAGAAGCTGACAGCTTATGCGTGAGACAATGCAGTGACACAAAAGCTGCCAACAGGAATCATCATTACAGAATGACAAGGCTTGCAGAACACACAGCGCAACCAGGCAGCAGCATGGCGCATTTCCAAACCAAAGGCGATCAACCACGACTGAGTGAGGTCCTGGCAGGCCTCTATTTGCAACCATCTCTGCTAGGGTTGTAGTGGAGCGTCAGGTTGGAGTCACAAACAACCAACCCACCCACACAACGACACAAAGAACTGCAATCAGGGGACTGTTGCGGCTCCAAAATGGATGCGACCTGCCGAAATGCATCTGCAGCTAGAAATCCTTTTCGCCACCACTCCATGGCGCATATACTTGCACCACCCGCGGGTCCATGACTCGCATGGATTGCGACTCTGAAATATGTCAATGTCATGTGTGAAACTAAGTTACCACTTTACCGTTACCGTGTTTCATGTCTGAGATGCAGTGTGATGCCTCTCTGACACATCTGTTGCGACGTGTGTTGCGCTCGATCCATGAGCCGCATATAGTCATATGGGTCGGCAAAGCTGAGTTAAGCAGTGTTCTTCGACACTGGCACTTGCTGCACACTGTACTCAATTCAATGGCATGTCAAACCTGCAGCAACCAGTGACCACGCCTGGTGGAATAAACACAGCAGCAACTGAAAGCGTCCAACCTCAGAGCATACATTCAATTCATGCAGCTGAGGTTGGGCGTGCGCACAGACAGTGATGGCTGAGCTTGAAGCAACCACTGCACTCAGAGCAGCTCCTCAACGCTTTCACTGACAGCTCACTACTATGTGGCTTTGCAAACAACGAGTGGGTCTTCACAAGTTAACTAACCTGCAGAATGCCAGAATGCAAAAGATAACCATGAACCTTGCATTGTGATCGATACAAAGCAACTTTGCATGAAGCTCTAAGCTCTTTCGGCCCCCCGAAGAAACATGCTGCAGGAGTTGGGCATATGGATTCGGGCTCGAGGTTCTCAACCTTGTATCCTAGCACCAAGCTGTTCGCAACTGCTGATGATCCGGCCGCTCTTGAGGGAAACGATGGCCTTCCTTCTGAGCCGGTGGTTCGAGATTTTCGGGATTTGCAAAGCACTTCTTCTGAATTCGAAGTCACTTCCCAATCAAGACCGCCCTGCAGCACCGAGCCCAAGGTCGTGAATCTCCAGTCGGTGGTGTACAGCCCGACCGAAGCACGAAAGAGTACAAGTTGCTGTAATGCCCTCTCTCAGGACCTTCCGCCAAATGCCTCAGCTTCTGGCTGTGGCCCCTTCTTCCACCACGCGGTGAATGAACACACCTCACAAGATATCACTAATAAGCTCTTCGGTCTTTTCAGGCGCTTTACAGACAGTAGGCAGAGCCTACGGCTGATAAGAAAACTGCGAGATTGCGCGCTCCAACGTCCCCGCGCCCTGAAGCACGCCTTTTCCCAGGATTGAGATGTCAGACCTCAGATGACACAGAAGTCAGAACGCAAAACACAGACACACAGTCAGACCAGAAACAGGCAAGACTTCAGCAACTTCATCTCCACATTCTCCTGCTGCTTTTTCAGACCCTGGAAAGTCTGGATGTGTAAAAGCTTGCATCGCATTGACCTCGCACAAACTGCAACCCCAATGCCCAAGCTTCAATACTCAAGACTCAAAAGCAAATCAAACACCAGGTTGGTCGCGCAAAACTAATCATATGACAAAGCACCTTCTGCGTAGCACCAAGAGGTTGGCTGCAAGATTTCAACAGCCTTCTCCAAATGATGCCTTGCAAAACAAAATTGTACTGGTGGGGAGTCCAGGGTGTTACTTATTTGCAGCTCAGTAGCTCTAAGTGAAGTGGGACGGCTACTAAAATCTCCATGGCTAACCAACCCAACCCTGATCAAAACTGGCTGCGTATCGCCAGGGCTTGAGTGCGCCGTTTGGCTTCCAACATTCTGGGCAGGAATGCAGCAAGCCACGGGAGTCAATCACTGTTTTCTTTGTTTTGTCCAAAAACAAAAGGGCCAAACCAAAAGGACAAGTGAAACCATAGACCAAACCAAAAAGACACATGCAAGATTCTTATCAGACCAAGTGATTTGTAGAAACTGCCCGAGCCGCTTCGGCCAAAGACTGCATTCCGCCAAACCAAAAGGAATCCGCTCCACCCAACACCGTCACCGACCACGGCCCTGTCGGTGGGTCGCGCGGCATCTGCGTGCGCTGCGCATCTTCCGCCGTGCCGGTGTTGGTCCAGAGATCCAGCGCCCAGTGGGTCTGCAGTAAGCGATGAAAGGCATCGGCATCGGCCGGGATGGAGACACAGATCACCTCCGGGTTGAGCGGGACAGGGCGGGAGAAAAGCCAGGGCATGGGAACCGGGTAAAGAACAGAAGTTCCAGTCAATTCCAGTCATTGGGGTGGTTATTGCAAAGCCCCAGAGTGCTCAGTGCATCTATGAAAAAGACCTTCGTTGCGTGGGTCAAACCCAAACCAGCCCAGCTTGGAACTGCGTTGATATATGTTGGGGTTGTGGACTTGATCTTGGGCCACACCCAGTTCGAGTGTTTGATAGACCCCCCACATTCAATGTATTTTCCGTCCAACAGCCACCCAATTTGGATGGTGCTGGAAAAGGACAGCTGCTTTGCCATCACCTGGACAGTCTGGGTACTCCCAGCTGCCGTGGACGTGGGACGCTTTCTTCACAATATGCCACTTTTCGCCCCTTTTGCTGTTTGACAGCCGTGTACAAAGGGACTAGGTGGTCATGAACACAATGGACATGGTGAAAAGGTTATCGTCCGGAAGAACACTGGCTCATGTTGAAACACAAAAAAAAACACACCTCAGCATGTAGAAGTAGGACAAGAACATGCGATTGGTGTACGACTGCATTGAAGCAATCAAAGGCAATTGAGCCCATAATTGATCAAACGCACTCACTTCAGTGCTTGTCTGCATCCAGAAACGGATCCAAAAGGATCAATATCTTTCCTGCCAGCATCACCCGGTGGTTATTGGATGGCACACCGTCAGGCGGGGGTCTATCAACCACCCGAACGGTGGTGCTGGTGGTTACGCTGCCAGAGCCGCTCCTGGCGCGCCTGCGGCAGCGCACGCCGCACCGCCTCCACCTCGGCCGGGTTGTCGTCCAGGAACACGAAGGCCTTCCCCGATGGGGCGTCGCGCAGGAACTGCTCGACACATGGCTGCTCGACACCGCAGATCAGTTCTGAACAGATTCCTCTCCAGGACCATCCAAAGGGTGCCCAATGGAAGCCTATAGGCCTATAGGTAGTGTGGGGTAGTCCATTGGACACCTCTTGGATGGTCCTGGTATGTTCCTCTATTTTCAGGGATGTCAACCCACCGGAATTTGGAGCTGTGCCATGACCCACATGGGAGCCAGCATTCAACCAGCACCCGACGACCAAATACATCAAAATACGGTCTGACGTCACCAGCTCTTTAAGTCTCCAAAAGCCGGAGAGTGCTGACATGTGCCGACCATATTCAAACCAAAAGAACGAACTGGGGAGCCCCGTCACAAACTCTCCAGAAGCCCGACCTTAGAGCCTTAGAGACGGGAAGCGTGCGAGCTAGCCCTTGAAATCGATTGCAAGGGCTAGGTTGGGATATTTAAACTATGCACGGAAAACTGTGTATAACCACGATGGAACCTTTATGAATGTGAATCTAACTAAGCAAATTCCGACTTTCTGTCGCAATGTTGGATTTCTCCGCCATGGAGAGATATAAGGTCCAAACTTGTTGCGATGTCAGTGTCCGAGGAATCGTGTTGGTATCACAGAACACAGCCACCCGATTGAAACACTGATTCACTTTTTGTTTGCTCGAACGTGGACATCATGTATCATCCACATAATTCCTACAACCATCTACAACCCATGAATGGTGGCACGAACCCCTATACAACCTATACATTATACATCGTTATACGTTCACATGTCCCAACGAGACGTGTCGAACCAACCGCCTCTTGTTGAAAAAGACCGGGCAATTCTCCCACAGGGAGTGGGACATGTGGCGCCCCACATGTGTAAATGTTTTAATGTTCCCGGGCCAGGATGTTTGACGGCTATGTTTCGGGGGTATGCTTTGGGGCATGCTTCGCGCAGGGTGAAGATTAAAGTAGCACTGTTCCGAGGGTATTGAGGGTATGCTTCCGAGTGTTTGGTTCGCCGAAGTCGAACATCCCAACTCATCCCAACACATGTTTGAAAACATGTATAAAACAAACAAACAAAACAAACAAAAACACATCTGTGGCCCGGCCCATGGCCCATGGCCCGAAAAGCCGAGAGCTGCCCACCATGTTCCTGCCGTCGTTTTTGTCGGGATCGGCACCTCCAAGCCCAAACGGAGCTCGGAGGCCAACCGTCGGAGGCTCAAGACTTTGGAGCCCCAATGCACCTGGCCGCAGCGGCCATCCGCGGGTTCGCGCGAAGCGAGCGCGAAGCGAAGCGAAGCGACTTCGCGCCCCCGAATGGGTGTGTTTTGGTCTCCAGGTGGTGGCGACACGGAGTCTCCGGGGTGGCGACCGCACGGGAACACTGGCCCCAACGCGCCTGCCAAGCGGCCAGATGCTCCCTCTTCAAGGGCATCTCTCTTTGCTCGAAGACCTTGAGCACATCCTCCTGACAGAGAAAAGTCCTTCCACCGATCGATGATTCACGTCAAAACCGAAACCGGACCATACCAGCTTCCGAACCAATTTCACCCTGCCTGAGGACCACCCAACTACTTAGATTGATCCGGACTCATCTACCAGGACCTTCCAAGCCAGGTGGTTTTGGGACACCCCTTAGTAGACACCTCTTGGAGGGTAGATTCATGATTCTTACAGGTCTCCAAACAGGACATCTCCCAACTCAAAAATTTCTGGGACCTCTCATAGGACACGGAAGATGGGACCTCAAGGGAATTCCAAGTGCATGTTTGTTTCAACAGAACCTCAAGGATGGGTTGAAACAAACAAACACTGGCCGCTCGCCAGCGAACTGCACGTCCGCCCGGCGGTAGCTCACTCAGGGCCGATCGGGTCGAGAGGCCCCGCGGCCGGCCTCGAGCCCGTCGTTCAAAGCAAGAAACAACAAGGGGGTAGCTCACTCCTTTGAAACGAATCCAGGTGAATGAAGCGAACTTCAAACCAACTGTTCGTCGAATTGAGTGTGGGGACACCAGTCCCCGGGCCCAAACGACGTTAGAATTGAGTTAGAAGATGTTTAAGACGTTATCCACTGACTGGGTACGGCGTCGGGGTTAAGTTTAGTCACCCCAAGACCAGACGACTTGACACATACTGACTGGGTATTTCACTGGTTTTCCTGGATGTGTCAGACACAAAGAACTGGCAGAAGGATGACGACCAAGTCAAAGCGGCGGTTGGGCCCCAACCTTGGTGCTGTGACTGTGACTTTGGATTGCCAAACCATGTGGACTATCCGGTATACTATCCTCCCTCACTTCACTCTTCTACCCACCTCGCGAGATCGCACCCCCGTCCTCCTGGTTCCGGGAGGCCAGGCAAATCAAACGTCCAAGCTCCTGGGGGTCCCGGACTGGCCGTCTGCTCGGACCGTGGGTCGCGCGCGGAAAAGGTCGGCCACACCGCGGTCTACCGCTGCGGCGGTCCATCCTATCCCCGGACCAGGATGAGCGGACCGGGGCCGTTCCACACCACCAAGCGAGGGGCAAAGGGGGGGGGACCGAACCAAACATGGTGAAAAATCGGAAGAAGGACCTGAAATGGGTTTCAATGTCTCTCTAGGAGAAACTTGCGACCCATGACCTGGTGGCTGACTTGCTGAAAATGGAAGGCTTTCCGTGCACGGGAGCAACGAGTGCTGAAGTTCAAGAGTATGGTTGTTCATATTTAGTGCACCTGAGGTTGGACACCATTACCATGTTCACATATGTTTTAAAATGTGGCTTGGGTCCGGCCCCATTGACCATGCATAGCCGCATCGCCTTTTTCGGTGCTGAGGTTCAATAATACTCTTTGGTTCCGATCAGCCCAGGAAGGTGCTGAGGTCTGCCGATCATCGGTGCACATCTTAACAAGGACCCCTCCACATCTCCCCCCCCATGGATTTGTGTATGGAAACCGTGTATCTTTGCGGTTTTGGGGTTGCTGGTTTTGGGGAGAGATCCCATGAAAACACCCACATGGGCTTGCCGGGTCCACAGATTGGATGCTTCTTTTGAGCAAGCCACACATGGAGGCGTCTCAAAGAGGACATTCTCTGAGGGTATTTCAAGAGCTCCACCAGTTGCTAGAAAGCTTTATTGTTACTACCAGTAGTAGCGATGGCCTCCAACCTACTAGCGGTGGCCTCCAACCTAATAGCGATGGCCTCCACCGTGCGTAGCTTCTAATAGCCAGTTCAGATACTCCAGCAACCCCCCCCCAACATTCTCAGAAACTGAAGAAACGCGTCGTCCACCCGCCACGCCTGCAGTCGAACCACCTGCGAGGATTTCTCGGGTTCAGTCGTCACCAGCTGTTTCAGGCGCAAACGGCCACCAACCACTGTTTTTCCAATGGGTCTCCACTCAGTTCAGCGGGGTCGTGAAACGACCGGACCTGAAAGCTGGAGAACCTGAAGAACCGTTCCATCACGGTTGAGACTGCACCTGATGCCAAAGTGTCCAACGTTTCAGACCCCGTCCCATGTGGAACTTCTGTGTCTCTTCCCATGGATTTGGCCAACCCCAATGGGCCACCTTGAGGTGTCATCCCACCCCTAAAACGAACAATCCTACCAACCCTCCTTCCGAAAAGAACAAAACGATGGCACGAAGTAACTCTATGTCTAAAACTCATCCAATTCAGAACCCCGCAAAAAAAGAAATAAGCTAACTTATATATACATGCTTTTTGACGAGTCCAATTCAGACACCCCCCTGCCCCAACGCAAACTGCCCTGCCCTCGTCGACGTTGGACCCCCAACCCAGCTCCACCCCGCCTCCGAAGCTTGGATTGGCTTAAGGGGCTGGAAAGAAAAGGTAAGTCAAATACATGTGGTTTAAAAGTAGTCATGGCGGAGGTCTCACCAATTTCAACCCACAATCTCTGGGCAGGCATGTGGCTTCCGGCTGTCATGGTTGAGGAATCGCAATTTCAAACTCGCCATCTCTGTGCAAAGCGAGACTGCAAACCCCGAAAAAGAGGGGTCCCGCAGTAAACAATTCAAATATATTGAAACTGCGCAGAGCTAGCCTGTACAGTCCCACAGTCATGGTTGAGGAATCGTAGCTGGTAGCTTGCCCGCGCCTTCTCTTGCAGCACTCGGAAGGGTCCCTCCAGGTCGAGCTCTTCAACTCCGTCTTCTGCCACCACGCCACCCCACCTGGGAGTTCGCTGGGAAGACGATGGAGTAACAACGGACTGTGTTAACTTCCAAAAAGTGATTCTGACAATATGACAATGATTGCAAAAAATGCCATAACATGTCTGCCTTTTGGCTAGATGAACAGGCATAATTGGAAGTTCTATGAAGTTCTAGGATGTTCTAGGCGTACATGCATATATAGTAGCCGCAGCCCCTTCAAAGGCAATGGACACTCTGTTCGAATCAGTTGATCATGCTTATAAAGGAGGGAACAGTTGTGAACAGCCAAATCACTGATCGCAAATGCTTTCGATCTGAGATCTGCAAGCTTCATGACCTCTAGTTCTGGAAGACCCACCGACCACGGCAACCATCTCACGTTCCCTGGGTCTCCGGACAGGGTCTGATCGCAATCGCACACGAAGACTGGGCCGTTCCGGCGAAGCAATTGCACCGCGTGCGTCGGTTCGGTTCGGAGTCCTTTCGACTCACCCAAAAAACCTTCCAGTGAGGACCCGATATGGGTACTTCTGATATGGGATAGGTCCTATTAGGTACCTATTAGGTCCTATATGGGATAGACCTTACATAGGTCTTCAGGTGCTTCAACCTCTGTTGGTTCGGCCCCGGTGGCATCGTCGTTGGAGCACGTGAATTCGGCGGTGTCATGTGTCGAGTCACATCCGCCGATTGGATCCAATCGGTCCAATGAATGAATGATGTCGTATACCATCGCGAATCCGATTGGAACGGGTTCCAACATGTTCTATAGGCTAAATTCCATGTCCTTTTCAGGACCGCAAAGACTGCACCAATGAAAGCTGGCAGCCAGCTTGCATGTTCAAGATCCCAACCAGAACTGCCTAGATTTCAACATTCAGGAGTGCCATGGCCCAAAAGTCAAACCTTTCTACTGCCCACAGACCAACGGTTATCCAACCGACCCTCATATCAAGACCTCGCGACCCTCGTATCACCCAAGAAGCTGGCAAATTCTTCTATTAGCTTCTTGTTCCTAGCAGCAATGCCAGGAGCTACTAGTAGCTTCTTGCTCCTAGAAGCAATGCCCTTTGTTACTAGTAGCTTCTTTTTCCTAGGCCGGGATGTGAATTCCCAATATTCCCATAGCCCCTGGGGTTGGAACAGGGGTGGACATCCCACGTCCTAAACACCATCTCTCGACTCAGAACCGATGGTCTCCCGTCCGCCTTTCAATCGGCGACTCAGCTGCCAATGCACACAGCGGCGCACGGCGCTAAAGACCAGGCCTGCGCCTCGCACCGAAGGAGGAAAACCGGAGACTCCACGAGAGGTTGAGAGACCATATAGGACCCTGCAGTGGTACATATGGGCTGCGCTATAGGGCTGTTCAACCTCTCTTGGCTCTGAGAAACTGTGCGAAAGGCTCACAACATTCACCACGTGGGACAATAGGTGTGACCCATTCCGGCTCCAAATGGGCTTTGATCACTGTTTTCTTCCTTCAGCAAGAAACGCGGTCACTCCGGCTCCATTGGACCGAGCTAGCCTCGCAGTCGTATCAGTTTCATGATTGGAAGCCTCAATTTCCTCAAAGTCATCCAGCTCTCAAAAGTGATTCAAATGCATCAGCTCATGTACTTTCACAGCTTCCCCCCACCTCGGTCTTCACCAACATCCTTCCAGCAAAGCACCTGGGTAGGTCAACAACCCTTTTCTCCTGGGCCGAAAACCCACCTCGCCACCCCCTCCAAACCTTTCGTTACGTTCATCCATCCAAATTCCTCCACCCGAATCCATCCGAGCTGATCCCCTTAGTATTTGATATTTCATGAATCTTTGATGGCCTCCTCTTTCTACCCACCCACCTGTCGCATGGTAGATGGGGACACTTCCGCATGTTTCTCCGCCTGGGTCGGTCTTCGTGGATGCCATGACTCCCCCACTTGGGGCCCGACATCCACGCCAGAGACCACCGCCGAAACCGGCGCCTCTCCTGTCCGGGGGCAAAAACGGATGGCACGGCATGGGACGGATGGCATGGGACAGCCAGCAGCAGGCTTCGGATGAAAAAAAATGCAAACCGGAGCACTAAGTGTAGAGATATGGTAGAGAACCCCACGGACAGAACCATGCAGGGGGTCCTAAATCGTTGGACGGCGATTTTATGAACACAGAATCTCTCACAACTAGTCGTCGTCAAGACTCAGCGCAAGCAAACCCTGCATTTCCTCTGTAAAATCAGGAGCCACCCCCCACACACCAAGGGGCAGAAATCGTGTTATACCAGGCCTTGACCCCCCCAATTGCATAGAGGACTCCCATGGTAGAGATTTAGCTCGCTGAGGGCATCTGATCATCTGAGTGCGTCATCAAATGAAACAATCCAAACGACTCCCTTCCCTAGATCTTCCAACTATGCAAAAATTATGTGTTTCATTTATAAGATCAGCCAAAAGGCAAACACTCAGCATAGAACTAGTTGGAGAAGACCCTCCACAAGGTCCGACTTCGTCTGTGCTGTTCAGCACATTCCCTAAGTTCAAACTCCATGATCTGCAGTTCCCAAGCCATACTCAAGTTTGGGGGCCTAAAGTCCCTAAGTTTATGAGTCTTTTTGGAGCTTGGATGACCTTTGCTCCCAGCTGGATGATGTACGTGATGCTCTTCAAGATGATGTACGTGTGGCCCCAAAAAAGTCCAAAACAGCCACCTGGGCCACTGCAGGCGAGGTCGGGGACTCTGCAGGCTTGGGCACGAGATGGCACGAGCTCCCAGGGCTTGGGACTCGCCATGAGACCGAAAACGCCAACTTTTCGGCATACTACGGGGGACACGGGGGTATACTATCACTCATATTAAAGGAGTAAGCGAGACCTGTTCACTCGGCCTTACAAGCTCCATCCTACCCTTCCACCCAGTGTGTGACCCCAGCACTCCTTCCTCCACCAGCACCAGCACCGGTGCCCCGCTCTCTTTGGCTCGCGACAGCAGCGATGGCAGCAGCGACAGACCATTGGAGAAACCTGGAGTCGCGGCTCGCGAGCTCCGTTCCGTAAATTCTTGGATTGGCTTAAGGAACCGGGAAAAAAAAGTGACTCACCCACAGGACTTACATGCGGAGTCAGGATCAGTACTGAAGTGATCATGAAACCACCCCCAACACTACTCCAGCTATCTCCAGCTATCTCCGGCTTTGCCCAACCAACAACCACTCCATGGGATGCTCCCCCAGAAGAACCACATCTTGGTGTTCACCTCCAAAGTCGGTGTGAAAACCCTACAACCCTCAAGCACCATCAAGCACAGGTGCTGGCTTCATACACTTTCATACATGTGTCCACATGTCTTTTTCCAGGCCTAAAACCACAATGCCTTCTCCCGGCTTGATGACCATCTGCTCCAGTGGATGATGCCGAAATGCCAAGCCTCGGCGGCAGAAACGGCGGAAGAAACGGAAGGTCAAGGCACTCCTTGGAAGAAGGAGCGCAGAGATCAGTCTACGTCTACCCATTGGTTGGGTGGTTGGGTGTCTCCCTAGTTTAAAGTACGCTACATGACATACCCATTACCCATAAGGGCAGCGAGGGGTCCAGGTGTTTGGCAGCAAACAACACAGAAAAGCCAGGAACGCAGGTCCTAGGTGTTCGGAGATTTGGAAGACGCTGTAGATTTTTGAAGTGGTCCAAGCACAGCAAAGTTGAAACGACTCTTTTCAATATATTCTATTCTAACATGATCTAATGGAGGCTTCATCACAAAAGGTTGCGAGCCCTACCATCTCTGCCAAAAGTTGTTTTTAAGAGACTGAAGGAGAAGCCACTGAAAAAAACGGCCGTCCAATCCCCAAAAAAATCTGCCAAGGAGCCAACACCCCAAGGCTCCAGAAAGCTTTGCCAACCTCAGGCATCAGGCATCATCATCCGGTTTACCTATACATATTTGGGGCCGCCAACTAGCAGGGAAGAGGTAGGAGCAAAGCAGGGAAGAGGTAGGTTTCAGTGGTAGTTGGGAGCAAGTTGACCACAAGGCTCCTCTGGGAGAATAGTACTATTATTGTTTAATACAAACCCGCTCTTGAAATATAGTTGGAAATTAGATTTGTTTTGTTCTTTTGGATGTTCTTTGTAAAGAATGATTTTAGAAATATCAGCCTTATGCAGTTAGTGTATTCTGCTTACTGAGTCTGTGGAAGTTTAACCACTAGTCTGTCTTTTAAATTGGCACAACCGGTCAAAATCAACAAGTCAACAAATAGTCAACAATGAAGTGCGTCTTGAGGAGCTCCATCTCGCCGTTCTCACTGTCTTTCAATCTTCGGACCTCCCTTGTCCAGTGCCAAGGATCGCCATCAGCTTCCAAAATCACTGAATCCGCTGACTCTTGGATGTCCGGAGCGCCGTAGAAAGCGCCCAACTTAACGACGCTCTGTGGCTCCAGTGTTCTTTGCACGACAACTGAGCGTCGTTGTCCAGTCAGCTTGACTGCGTGCAGTGTGGAGCCTTGCAGCAGTTTGCTGTCATCACTGCCTTCTTTGTCAACGTCGTCGCTGTAGAAATAGTCACCGAAGGGGATGTTCTTACGTCCACACCTTGGGCATGTGGCGACGCGTTGAAGCAGTCAATGCAGATCGAGCAGTGCGTACGCAGACAGCACTGCACAGGCGGACATGCAACAAGCTTCCAATAGTTTCCACGTCTGTCTCGACCGGCTCCAGGCAGCTGACCTCATGAGTTTGCTTGGCCTTGCTGTGGTGGTTGCCAAGTAGGGCGAATCCGTCCATCCGTCCGCGCATCTCCCTGGAGCGAGACATTCCTCAAGTCTGCGTGGGGTGATTGCAGGGCTTTGGAGATCCCTGTCCGCGTGTGGGTTTTGATCCAGCAGCCCTTCGTTTTGCATCATCAATGCCTGGGCCATGTCCTCCTTCTTCGAAAGCCATTAATGAAGGGCTGGCACTTCCAGAGTCTGCATTGGCTCCAGCCAATTGGCCTTTTGACTGGCTCCAGAAATAGAGTCCAGAAAGAGGCTTCTCGAAACTCAAACTTCTCAAAGCTCAAACTCAAACCCCTCCAACGTTTTGGAATCTTCTCAGACTTTTCTTCAATAAATTCAAACATACATCTCCAGATTGAAAGCAGTCAAAGCAGCAACAAAATGGTAAAAGGCGCTGCAAAGTAAACATTTTGCAGAGATACAGAACATCATTGAAACCCAAAAACAACAAAAAGGCAGGCAACCACCAATTACTTTACTTCGAGTGATCCCCACCATGACATTTCAATCATTTGTCTTGATGCCATAGTGAGGAGCATGTTGCCATGGTCGTGAGTATTGTAGTTCTCGATTTTGGTTGTGGGTACTCGGGTTGTGTGCTGTGGTTGTGTGTTGTGCTTGTGGTTGTGTGTTTGTGGTTGTGTGTGTGTGTGTTTGTGATTGTGTGTGTGATTCGTAATTTTGTTTGTGGTTGCGTGTTTGTGGTTGTGTGTTTGTGGTTGTGTTCGTGGTTGTGTTTGTGGTTGTGTGTTTGTGGTTGTGTGTTTGTGGTTGTGTGTGTGTGATTGTGTCTGTGGTTGTGGGTGTGTGATTGTGTCTGTGGTTGTGTGTTTGTTCTTTGGCTACAAATGTCCCAACCAGGAGGCACAAGTATAGCCACGCCTGCTTGTGATTGTGTGTGGCTGTGTGCTTGTGATTGTGTTTGTGATTGTGTGTTTGTAGTTGTGGTTGTGGTTGCTTGTTTGTGGTTGTGTTTGTGGTTGTGTGTTTGTGGTTGTGTTTGTGGTTGTGCGCCGTGGTCGAGGTCCGGCAGGGAACACTGGGCGTGGAAGGTCGTGGTTGAGGTCCGGCAGGGAACACTGGGCGCGGATGGTCATGGTTGAGGTCGGAACACTGGGCGTGGAAGGTCGTGGTTGAGGTCCGGCAGGGAACACTGGGCGTGGATGGTCGTGGTTGCGGTCCGGCAGAGAACACTGGCCATGGATGGTCGTGGTTGAGGTCCGGCAGGGAACACTGGGCGTGGATGGTCGTGGTTGATGTCCGGCAGGGAACACTGGGCGTGGATGGTCGTGGTTGAGGTCCGGCGAGGAGGAGAGAAAAAGAAGGAGGAGGAGGAGAAGGAGAAGTCAGCTAACATAAAATCTAACGACCCTCACCTGACAGGTGGGGAACTATAAGTAAGCGCAGGCCAAAATGGCAAGGTACGCGTAGACGAAGTGCAGACCAATGGCAATCTACAAGGAGGGTAGTGGCGCAGACCAACCGCAGACCAATGGTGCTACGGGGCTATTGGTTTGGTAAGACCAATGAAACATATTTATTTGGTTAATCAATTAATTCATCTAACAAAACGATAATAAACGACTCACTTGTCTTCAATTAAGTCAAGTCTCATGATCAATGCTCCGTTGCTTAAACTCCTGCGGGTCCGACGTTCTGGCTGTCGGCTTGGGCACACGGGCCCGAGGCTGAGGTCTAGTGACCGTGGTCCAGTTTTCGTCCTCCATGTCCGGCACTGGCACTGGTGCCGGTGGCGGGTCCGTCGTGGCCTCCTCCTCCTTCTTCTTGTCCGACGCTTCAGTTTCAGCTTCTGCTGCATCCAGGCATTGCCATGTCCGCCGGTGACGGTGGTGGTCCGTCCGTCTGCTTGTCCTTAGCCTCCGCCGCCTCCTCACCCTTAACCTCGTCCGGCTCAGCCTCCTCCGAAGCCTTCACCATCTCCGCCTCCGGCTCAATCTCAATGTCGTTGTCCGGCTCATCATCCTTAGGCCTTGAAGGGGGGGAAAGATGGGGGCAGTGGCCCCTTCATCAGCCTCTCCGCCGTTGAGACCAAGTCCGACAAGCCCACCTCCTCCCAAAGAGAGTCCTCGAACATTGGGATAAACCAATGACGTTTGCAGTGATTCCATGTGTTTGTCCCGCTGAAGGTCGGGAGCCAGCATGGAATGTCCAATGCCTTTGAAAGGGCTACGGCCAGGAGGGCCGACCTGTGCTTGCCCTTTGTACCTCGAACCATTGGCAATGATTGAACAAAACCAAATCAATGAAGGTTAATTAATTAAAGTTAGACATTAAAAAATCAAGGCCAACCCAACCCAGCCCGACCAAAGGATCCAAGGTTTACTATTACTGTAACTACTTAGAGAAACTCCTAGTGTTGGACCAATGACTGCACCTGCACCGACATTTTACACTGGTTCAAACAAGCAAATCATACCAAGTGGACAAATCACAATCAACAGCTTTGGCAAGCAGTCATCCTTTCAGTCATACCAATAAATGGGTGCCCTTTGAGTGGGCTGGTCATTTCTGGAGATATCATCTTACAAGGTTTGAAGCACTTTGCATGCAGTTGGAACACACAAAACACATGGCACACTATTGAAAGCAACAATGGAGGAAAGCCAGCAGGCAGCAGCTGTGTTCCAATTGAATTGTTACACTACCCCAAGTGTCACACTCTGTATTAGTGGCTTGATACCCACCATCTCAATTTTATTTATAGTACTAATTAGGGATTTGTTTTGATTGCTTGGTTCACCAACACAAGCCAACAGCTCTTTTCCCAGCTTTGTAGAACGTTGATATCAAATCTCAAGACACTTGGACTTCCAACTTAATGGCTAGTTTATGAGAAAAATCAACTCCCACCACTTTAAGGATTTCTCTGGGCCTGCAAATCATACTACCCAAAATGAAACCCTTAGATTGAGACCAGAATAGAAAGACTGCTGGCACGTCCAATTGCAGCACTAAGTATACTCAACTGAGTTGAGGTATGGAATCAACAACTGAAAAGTACATCACAACCCGGGTGATTATTGTTCATTGAAATACTGTTTTTGACAAGTTCTTGACAAACAAGGTTTATCAGATACTTTTATCTGAGTGAAACCATTTTTTTACATACTGACATATACAGACTGTTATGCAAAATGATGTTGATCAAAATCATGTAGAATTCCTACCTCTTCCCTGCTCCTACCTCTTCCCTGCTAATCGTCCCGTCTGAATATATATATATATATAACTCTGCGAAGAATAAGAACAAATTGTGGGTTCATGTGGGTTCCAGGTTTGCTCTTGCGATGGTGCTGTCTTCAGAAGGTTCCAGTTTTGGGTGCGATCAAACTCCAATCAGACTCAACACCTGGCACAGCGATTTCGCAGTGTTGGGATCTGTCGATCGGTCGGTTCAGCGGGTGCCCTGCCGGGTGCCCGGGCGGTTCGACTGGATGGATCAAAATCACCCACCCGAGCAGTTGGTCTAATGGCATGAAAGGGGGGGGTTCGCCAGAGAGATCAGCAGGACACCCGACCAAACCATTCAAGTGTCACCAAAAACCACTCGGCTTCGTGAGAGAGAGAGAGAGAGCGAGAGAACTGCAAACCTGGAAGGCTTTTTCAGGACAGGCAAAAGCAAAGGAATCAGTCTCGGTATGTCTCGGTACCACTAAGGATCCGGGTCGATGGAGAGATGTGGCGAAGTAGGAAACGGCGATGTTCCTGCTGACCCGCCAAGATGCGCATAGCGGCTGCGCATACGAGCTCCTGCAGAGACGACGTGGCACTGCCAAGTGGGGTGCTGAAGGGTCGAGCGAGTCGTGTGGGCTATAGTGGGTATAGTGACAGGGAGCGAGTTCTCTGACCGAGAAGTGCATAAAGCATGAGGTGTTGTTTTGGAGTAACAAAAATACCTTCATGTTTGTGATGTATCACAAGTGTTGACCCAAATAGTAAACAAACACGAAATCAATAAACACATATAAACACGGTTTCCGCATATCATGACCTCTGTATACGTCAGTCGGCCTGTACTTACTAGACTTACCACTAGGGGCGCTCTCCTGGCCTTACTACTAGGAACAAGAACGATACTAGTAACAAAGGGCATCGCTACTAGGAACAAGGACGCTACTAGGGGCGCTCCTGGCCTTACTACTAGGAACAAGAACGCCATTAGGAGCAAAGGGCATCGCTGCTAGGAACAAGGACGCTACTAGGGGCGCTCCTGGCCTTACTACTTACCACCACAAATGTTTCAGCTCAACAAACTCCCAAGCAGTCAAACCAGGTGCCCCCCTGCAGTTGACAATTGAAACTTTCTCACAAGCGCAGAAGTTCCAACTACACTCCGACTCACCTTCACCACCTGAACACCGTCATAATCACGGTAATTCAACCCTAAGTTGGGCTCCAGTCGTACATTCTTTCTAAGGTGGGACGGAGGTGGGTGCCAGAAAGGCCCAGTCATACCACTGGAGCCCTGGGGTCACTCTCTTTCCAGCACGTCCTCGCCTGCGGCACGTCCGTCAAGGCTGTGACCTCCAGGCCTTCGACCAATCGCATGTTCCATATGCGGTCCCACGGCGGAACAGCACGCACAGCGGAAGCGAGATGTCGGGGAAACAGCACCCAGGTGGCAAACACGACCTGTCTGGGACTGGTATAAATATGCCATGCATTGACCCCTTCTCAACCAGCCAAATGGTAAATATGTCAGTCCCAGACGGGTCGTGTCTTGTCTGCAAACCCGCACAGAAGTGCGCGTTTCCGGGGGGTTCCGGAGTTCCGGGGAGCTTCTTGAACGGATGAAAGGTCATGGGACCAGATGAGCCAGGTTTCTGAGCAGGATGGAAGGTCTCTGTGAAGCTCATCTTGGTGCGTTGACCAACGGCAGGACGTGAATCGAAAGGAGTTGCTTGGTGCGTTAACATCAAATCGAAGATGCCCTCTTCGCTCGGCAGACGGAGCTTAATGGAAGAATTGGATCCTCAACGTCCCCACCCAGGACCCTCCCGCACCGAGCAGCAGGTGAAGACTGGTTGGCTGTTTGGCGCTGCCCGGCCCCGTTGGTGGCCCCGCGCCGGGCGCACCAGAGCCACTTGGGTCTCACCTGTGGCACTGAAGAGGTGACGTCTAAGAGGCCCAGTCGCAGTGGCCAAGGTGGAGAATTTCAAGCACCGCCCCATACGCGTCTCAACAAGTTGGTGAGGTCCTTCCTTCTGAAGGTGGTACCGGGCAGCTGCAAGAAACCCGAACTGCCAGCAATGGGAAGATCGACCTGCCCACTGGCGACACTGAATCTTGACATCATCATACCCAATATGCCCAGGCTGCTGCAGGCGAGCATGATTGGTGGTCCTTTCCTTGGCAAAGCCTCATGGAATCTTTTCCCCTCCACAATCCCCCACTAAATCTGCTCATGTTACTGGATTCGACTGTCCAGAGAGGGGTTGATAGCGCAAGTAGGTCTCAATGTGGTAAAGGTCAATGTGCTTGAAAAGGTGGCATCGATGTGCACCCTTTAATATGATCAATGCGGAACCACCGCTTTCAGCGTGGCTCATCAAAACGATAGGCAGTCCTCAAGTAGATCATGCCCCCCTTTTGCAAGGTGAAGGGGGTAAGCATCGCCCAACATGGGAACTCCGCAAAATTGGGATTTTGTCCAAATAGCTAATTTAAAGTACCAGCTGACTTCAATCTCAATGGTTCTTTGTTCTAGAAACATCAGTCAGTACTGTATATTACGCAAAATGTTCAAAAAAAATAACGGAAACATGGTCACCCAAGAACAAAAACTTCAGAGGAGGAACTTCGGCTTAGATGACCATGTTTCCCTTGCGGGCGTCTTGACCATATCAAGCATACTCTCCCTTTACATCAACCAAGCAAAATTGCAATCCTCTTATAGAATAAGAATATGCCGAGTTCCTTCAGAGCTGCTTTTGGATATAAGGGACTCAAGACTTTGGGCAGAAACCATACATGGAACTAGTGTAACAACTCCAAGACCAATCTCGTTGAACCAAAAAGAGAGACGACTCAAAAACCATCCTTTTGGATGGTCTCAGAGTCTGTCACTTTGTGGACTAGATGAATGTCTGCTTGAAGGAGGGATGCTCACTAACCCTATCAGGATAGAAGTCACCAAAAAGAACATGTCACGTAGGAGTTGGATTCTTTGTGATCGATGTGCATATCTATCTTTATTACTGTATCAAGTGAGTCCGTGTGAACATCAACACTTTGAGTGCTTTTGGATTTGTCTACCAAACAATACGACCTCAAGGGCACTTTGTAATAAGCGTCTCCTTGGAGAAAGCAGGGCCCCACGAATTGTGTACAAACACCCCAGGTGTTTGGGCGTCCTTGCAAGGCTTTGGATAAGCACACACCATTGGGTAGAATTTCTTGGCGTCAAACCCGCCCTAGCTGCTGGCGCCACGGTGACCGCGCCAATTCTGCGGCTTCAGGGAGCGAGAACAGCGAAACCGACCGAAACTAGTGCCCTGGTTACTAGTCGCGATGCATCTTGTTACTAGTAGCTTCTTGTTACCAGCGATGGCCTGCACCCTAGATCACCCTACTAGTAGTAGCGATGGCCTCCAACCTATGAGGTCCGCATCCTTTCCCGTCCATCTCCCCACCTTCTCCGCTCTCCGCCTCGCCTCGCAGCTCGTAGCTCAGGCGCCCCGCTGCGGCGAGCCCCTGGGCCACCCCTTCCGCGCCACACGGCAGCCAGGCGAAGCCGTAGCCCAGGCCCCGGCCTTCGCCCCTGAGAGAGAAGAGGAGGCCTGGGGGGGAGGGAGGTCTCAAAGTGGAGGGAGGTCGCGGCGAAAACCAGGGGGGTGTGGATGTTTGTACCTGAAAGCTTTTCGAGTCTTGATGGATCGGTCGGATGTTCTGAGGACCTCTTGATGGATCCGGTCTGCGATCCAAAGGAATCTTAACAGTTGGCCTAGCGACTCACGGTCTGAGGCCAAGGACTGGTACTGTGCTGCTCGGGCCGTGGTCAGTTCGCAACTTCGATTCTGTGCTGCACGTGGGCAGCTCATAGGGGCGATAGCAGGAGATAGCAGGAGTTCCGCAGTTTCCACTGCTCGCCTATTCCACAACATTGTGTCGCCAACCTGAATATTTGCTGCATGTAATGCAATGGGACGTCCTGCTAGTATGTGCGGTTTGGTCGAAACGATTGCCATGTGAGAAACGAGCCACGAAGCCCGTGGTGGTGGGAGAATGGCCGCCCAAAACCCCAAACCATGTTTTGCCCACGGCCTGCAGCATTTTGGTATTCTAGCAATCGGCCTCCCCAATACAACCGAAACCTACTGCAGTTGTAGACGTTTTGGGCATGCAATCGTCTGCACATAATCTGGGGAAACTGCTGGGATTCATCTGCACCATGAATTCTTGACAAAACAGATTCAGAATCAGTGTAGAAGCTAAAGTGGTCTGGGAAACCTTGGCTTGTAATTCGGTGGTCTGGCAACACTCTGTCCAGCATCGTACCAACGAAGCCCCTCCCACGGGATTGACCCTATGACGGGGCTGGCGCCCGGTCAAGAACCGCTTTGACCTACTTCATGAGGTCAAGGGACCTACTTCAGCTCAGACTGGACCGGGTCGGAAGGGTCGGAGTCTCTCCACGGTCGGATTCGCCCCCAGGTCGGTGCTTCGGAGGTCGCCCACCTGGAGGTGTGCAGCCGGAGTCGTACCTCAGGCGGACGAGACGGACAGGGGAGGGCGGACACCAAGGAGGGCGGACACCCTTGAGATACATCTGCCTTCACCCCTAAAACCCTAAACCCTAAACCCTCATCAAAAGAATGTATATTGTCCAAGCTACCAGGGACTTCCATTTGTTGAAGGGGCTTGTGACTGGTTCGACCTGCTTCGACCTGCTTCGGCTCTGGGACGGACTCAGGCCCACACCGGAGCAGCACGCTCACCAAGGTCTGCTGCTGCCAGGGCCTTCTTTCAGCTGTCACACGGTGCGGATCACACAGTGGACCATCTCACAGTGGCGCTCAAACCCATGAAACTATAGGTGTTCACATGTGTTCACATACAACAAACTATGTCTTTGATGGTTTTGTGGGGCCCCTGGTGGATAGTTTCTTTCAGAACAGTGAAAACTTAAAGCTGTGACAATGCATGGCTGTGCCAGTGACTTGGGATACACTGCAAGCAGCATGCTTAAAGCATCCAATAGACTCTCATTCATATAAACTCTTCCAGTCTTTTTCTGGTCAAATGGCCTCATCAGTTTTTCATACATGGACTATTCCAGTTCTGGACTCTGATTCCAGTTTCATCCAGACCTCTTCCAGTCAAAAGCTCCAACCTCGTCAAATCGGCACGTTTTTTCGGCCGCCTTGAGTGTCTCTGAAAAGATGATAGAATATCAAAGACCAGAACACCCCAACTAAGGGGCTTCCACTGACAGCCCCTTAGAGGTTGAGGGGTGTCCATCAAGCACCCCGACAGTGGGTCCTGGTATAGTTATATAATTAGCAACATTCATTAATGTAATATGCACTCTCAAAATCTCTCAAAACTAGACGCTGACAATGTTTTTTCCTCTACCAAGCGGTTGATATCTAAAAGTCCATATTAGTCTTATGTTAGTACAAGAATCAATATGAGTCTAATATATGAGTCTGATTAGGCAGGTGACCCCCTATCATTAGTCAATATCTTATGTTAGTCCCCCTTAGTCTTATGAGTCTAATTCGCTGAAACCCCCTATATTAGGCCCGGTCCGACAGAGACCTCAGAGACTCGGTGAGGACGTCGGACTGTCCCCGGTCCGAAACGCCTCCAAGGAGGTGCGCAAGGACAGCTCCAAATCTGCCAGGAGCTCCACTTCATGAGGAAGACCTAGAGAGCAACAAGACAGAACTTGTTCGACCGTAGTATTAAGCGGACAAAGGATTACAGTTGAGATCTTGAGTCAACTCCGCTTCCGAAGGTGACTGTCATGTGTAAAGGGAAAGGTTAAGAGCACGTTGGTTTCGAGAATTTTTCATTTCCATGACCCTGTCGATATCCTTTCCAAGTGTAGGTATGCATCTACACGTTTGTGACAGCGAACAAAGCATTCCAAGCTGATTCTCTAGCTGTGTCGCCTCCCAAGAAGATTTCGCAAGGGTCAGGGCCCTCTCCATGCTGCATCAAAGTTCGCGACAGCCAGATCCGAGGATGATTCTCTAACTGTCTGACCACCCATTCCTGGTGTAGCTACCTGATCTGCTAGATCAAAAGGCAGCTAGACCCAGTGCTCTGCTGTTGTACGGCTGGTTCTCAGATCATAGAACTGTGTCGATGGTTCTGTGTCCTTCCCGTGTCCCGTGTCGCTGCGGGGCCGGAGTCCATCACTCGGAGGGAGTAGATGGCTGCGATGGTCGATGGCCGGCTGTGCATTCGATCGTGGTCCGGCCCAGTTGGGCTGCGGAGACAGCGAGTGGACGACCCGGGTCGAGGAGAGCAAGAGATCCAGTGGACCATGCCCTGGTCGGGCAAATCGTCAACCAGCAAGCAATATAAGTAAAACAATACACAATATAGCACACCCGAACCTTTTCTCAGGGGTGCGAGAAATGGAGATCCACCAAAGCCGTGGGCTGGGTAGTCAGACTTGGAGACTTCCCGATTCAGGAAGGTGCTTGGCGTCTATGTCCAAGGCGTCAAGGCACCATCAGGCACCATCACTTCCAACAAAAAACGTCTCCCAGCAACAGGGTCTTTTCATAAACCCTAGGGCTCCAGTCGTACCTTCGTTTCGAAGGTGGGACTGGGGTGGGTGCCAAGGGTCCAAACAGGAGGTACCTGGAGCCCTAGGGAAAGTCATGAGGCAACAAGAACAAAAGGTGTGCGGTGTGCCGTTCTTTGGTTGGCCTAGCTGGGTTGGTACGTCAATCAAGGGAGTCTGAACGACCCCCGGTGAGACAACACAATAGACATCAATAGACCGCCCGCAATAGGCAGGTTTCCCAGACATCGATGGGTGGATGTGTCTCCAAAAGGGAGACCTTCCCAGTTCGACCCTCTGAGTTTCTGGTTCGGAAAATACACCAACCCATAGGGATCGGGGCCTATACTCCCTATATGGGCATATATGTGGCACAGGCCAGATCGAATCAAGACCTCTCCCCCAGACCACAGTTCTGTTGGACCCGTGCTCCACAGAGAAAGACCCCCCCGCCCGGCTCACGTGGCCAAAACGCCCAGACCTGCGGTGGTGAGAGGAACCGGTCGAGGAACCGGGTGGAAAAAGCAACACAATGGTATCCCGGGCCCACCATTGACCATGTGACTCACGATTTCACACTACAAGACCGGGTCTCCATTCTGTTAAACCTTGGAATCCTACAAATATCTACACATATCAAACAATCTCAGGTGCATTGCATTGTATCTCTGCAAAACGGAAGGCCTGTGGTCTGATGCAAACAAAACGCACTCTCAGGCAAGCAATTGTTTGTCCCGTCCGCGAAAGCATCAAACATGGCATGGAACTGCTGGATCTTCTTTGTCTTTTCAAAAAGTACACGGACATCCCAACGAATTCACCCAGAACCATCGCAATGGCAATAAAAAAGTGACAGAAGTTGTTGGTGCGGAGTAGGATGGGCTCAAAACAAATGGCGCTGCCGCAAAAAGCTCTGCTTTTCAGAAACGCGGCTTGATCAAGCTGCAGCGTGAACAAGCATACAGCGCAACACACCACCGTTAACCACCCATGGTCCATTTCCACATTGGGAAAGGAGGATGTTGGTGTGTTGGCTCTTGAATTAGAAGCTGGCGCTGCCATGCTTCATGGTGGCTCGGCCACACAGTTTTGGCGCTGCCACAGTCGATGGTGCCACCATCTGCTTTGAGCGTTCTTTTCTCCGCTCACGTTGTCCCTTCCGTAGCTGCTTCCGGTGTTCCTCCGTTGCCTTCTCCTCCGCGGTCTCTTTCAAGCTGATGGTCTTTCTTGTGAGATATTCTTCCCACAACAGATTGCGCATGGCTTTGGTGAGGCCATCTGCATGCTGTCTGTGTGTGGGGACCCAGTACAGCTTGAACACCTCCTGTTCTAGCAGATCCTTGGCCACCAGAAGATCCAGCATAGTCTGGCGTTCTGAAGGAATCTGCCCTGTCGTGCACATGTGGTCGTACAGCGACTTTGCGTCCGTAACGACGCCGCCGCCTACCCTCAGGCGTGCCCGCCATTCTGACCCAACCTCAAAGACTCCATGCAGCATCATGTCGGCAATGAGGCGGACGTAGAGGTGTCTGTCCACCGCGAGGCTGAGTGAACAAGATTCCGCGGCCATCCACCCTGCTGCTTTTGTTTGTCGTATAGTCCACTGCTGCAGCGGGTTGAGGGCCCTTCGAGACTTCCTCGTTTGTCAGGAAGTGCACTGCCCCAAGTTGTGACTTGCCGTCCTTCTCCTTGCCGAGGGACGCGTCAAAGTAAGTCACCACAAAAAGCTTGCCATGTATCTTGGGGTATGGAAGCACAGCTCGACCTTGCTTTGCTTCCTCTTTGCACTCTTCATAAAGTTGCAATGCCGCCTTGTAGTCACCCATAGTGGCTCGTGTGGCATGTTGTGCCAACTTGCTGACTTTATACAGCACCTGAGGCATCGATTGCTGACCTGGCCATCGTAGCCTCATCACCAGCTGTCTGTATGCTGTCAGCTGCTGTGGATTCAACGGAGTGTCATTCTTGGCACTGGGCTTCGTGTCCGGCAATGCGATCTTGCTGATGTAGTTGGACATGTCGTCATAAAGCTCCCCATGCCGTTCCTTGAGATCCACGCCCAAAAAGGTCAAGGGAATGGACTTCCACTCCTTGATCGTAAACATGCCATTGATATCTTTCTTGAGCTTCAGGAAACGATTGTCCTGCTCTGAGCCGAATAGAAGGCCATCATCAACATGAAGATTGAGCAGTGCCCATGCTTGGGTGTCGTCAGAAGCCACGAAGCTGCTCTTGCTGATCGGCAGTTCTTTCAATGGTGTGGATGTCAACAATTTACTCGCCCTCAAGTACCAGAGTCGAGGGCTTTCAACAAGACCGTAGGCTGAGCGCAAGATCTGCATCAGCTCGCCACCACCCACGGCTGGCTCTGCATCCACTGCCGGCAATCCTTCCTCAGGAGCTCGCACATACACGTTGCGTTGCAGATTCTCTCCTGACAGGAAGGCTGTGGTCACGTCAAAGGAGTATCCCTTCCAACCATTGCGAACTGCAATGGCCTTGGAGATTCTTAGCGCTTGCAGCGTGGCCGTCGGGCTGTCACTCCTGAAGTGGCCGAGACCAGGATCACGGTGTCCGGGAACAACCAAACGTGACTTTGCAATCAGTGGTGCCAGCAGCTTAGTTTGCTTGTTGACTCGCACCATTCTCAGAGGTGCTCGAAAGATCTGATGACGAGGAATCTTGGCTTCCTCTGCTTTGGACAACCGCTTCACCACACGGTTGCGAATCCATTGTTGCCACTCCTTGGCATCTTTTCCTTCTCATCAAAGTATTTGGGATCCAATTCCTTGCCGTTTTGCTTGAGCTTCAACACCATGACCTCTGCCAGAAGATGGTCATGTAGATCTTCCGCCCAAAGATGCTCAAAGATGCGGCGTTCCTCTGGATCCAACTTAGCTTCGTAGAGTCCATCCGGCAACTGAATGTAAGTGGAGTGGTCTACCGTTGCTGGAGAGTCTTCCTTCAGGAAGAGGGTCATTCCTCTCCACGTGAATGGTGCCCTCCGTCTTGGATTCTTCAAAGCTTCTTCGGAATCCTCTTCCACCATGAACACATCGTCCGGTTCTTGCCCCATCAAAATTGTCACCCTGGCACGCTTGCGAGGTGGTTTCATGAATCTCTTGCGTGGATGCCGATGAAGTCGTGCCGCTGAGATCGGAAGACCTGTCAGCTGTCTCAGCATCTCCACCTCATATCGGGTGATCCATTCATTGGCAGGGCCTGGAGACACAGCCGATACCAGTACTTGCATGAAAAGTGCCGTACTTGGTCGGGCTTTCTTCAATGGGAGTTCCTGTGTCGTGGGTGCTGACATCTTCCGTTTGATGCTATAGGGGACATCATCCATCAAACGCTGTCTCCGTGCCTCCGTCAGCATCTGTGCCCACTCTTGAGGTTCTGGTGGCCTTGGTGGATAAGGTCTCACAGTTGGTGAACTGTCTTCTGGTGTGCTCAGACCATCAGACTCATCCTGAATAGGAACTCCATCTCCAGCTGTTGGGCCCTTGCTTGATGACGAGGGCGCTTCTGCTGCTTCGGAAGGCCCTGGCTCAGCCAGAGGTCGTCTTGGTGGCGCTGCCACTGATGCAGATGCATCTTCCAAGGCCAAACGACGCCTTGTAGCACGTTGTGCTGGCTCTGGTGGCGCCGCCACGATATCTGCGGGTGGAGGAGCTTGAGGATCCTGTGATGCTCGAGGATCTGACAGTGCTGGTTGCACTGGTGGATTCAGCTCCTTTCTCTTCCGCCGCTGAGGCATTTGCGCAGGTCGAGGTGGTTGACCCAATAGGCGTCTCACCGCCTTGGTGCCTCGAAGGATGTTCTTGGCTCTCAGCCTTTGCGGATCCTCCGGAGGTCGCGGCTCCCGCTTCTTCCTTGGCCGTGGAGGAGGAGGTTTTGCTCTGAGGTCCTGGTATACGTTTGATCTCGTAGGATCCCTGAGCAACTCTTGAATATCCAGGACGTCCTCCTTCACTGGTTCTGTAAGAGCAAGCTCCTCCGGCGTGGCTAGCCTCATATTCTCTTGGGCCAGTAAAAGAAGTCTGCCGCGCCAACTCACAAAGTATCTCTTTTGTTGCTCCGGGACAAGCACAGTGGCTGGGCCTCTCCATTGTCCTCTGCCACTTGTATAGCGCTTGAATTGTGGAGTCCAAAAGTAGATCTGGGCACCAGACATGAACGGACCGGCAGACGTCGGTGGTTTGCGCAGCAAAGTTCTGCGTAGCTTGTCCCGAACATCTTGTCGGATGAGCGCCACCCTAGCCGTTGTTCTCATCTTGTGTGCCCTTGCGACTTCACTGTCAGTTGACAGTCCTTGAATGAAGCTCATGCCAACATCTTCAGAGTTCAAGCTTGGCCAGCGATGTTCAACACCGAAAACACGCTGGTTGGGTGTGTAGCCATCCCTGGTGATCGTGGCGTTCTTGGCCATCACTGCACAAGCAAGTGCCCTCTTCATGTCC